TTAAAAAATTCAAAATTTCAAATTGAATTTAAATTTAATTTAAATTCTCAATTTGAATTAAAACCATTATTAATTGAAAGTTTAAATTGTTTTGCTGATGAATTTTTGCGCAAAACTTAATTAAAAAAGCGTATTTTAATATTTATACTATGAAACGACCAGACCATATTTGTCGTGCTCTGCTGCAATGCATATAACATAATGAATTAGCTTCAAAATATTGCTATTTTTTGCAGTTTTGGCACTAAATTAAAATAAAAAATGATAATTTAGAACCAACTTTCTTGTTAAATGTGAGAAAACTGTTACAAATTTTAAAATTTTTAAAAAATTCATAATTTAAATTTGAAATTAAATTTAATTTAATTCTTAAATTGAATTAAAACCATTATTAATTGAAAGTTTTATTAGTTTTGCTGATGAATTTTTGCGCAAAACTTAATTATAAAAGCCCATTTTAATATTTAAACTATAAAATGACCACACCATATTTGTCCCGCCCCGGTGCAATGCATACAACATAATGAATTATTGCTATTTTTAGTAGCTTTGGCACTTAATTAAATTTAAAAAGGATAAATTAGAACCAATTTCCTTGTCTAATGTAAGAAAACTGGTACAATTTTTAAAATTTTTAAAAATTTCAAAATTTAAATTTGAAATTGAATTAAAACCATTATTAATTGAAGTTTTTAATAGTTTTGCTGATGAATTTTTGCGCAAAACTTAATTATAAAAGCGTATTTCAATGTTTAAACTATAAAATGACCACACTATATATGACCCGCCCCAGTGCAATGCATATAACATAATGAATTAACTTCAAAATATTGCTATTTTTAGAAGTTTTGGCACTTAATTAAAATTAAAAATGATAATTTAGAACCAATTTTCATGTTAAATGTAAGAAAACTGTTATAAATTTTAAAATTTTTAAAAAATTCAAAATTTAAATTTGAAATTAAATTTAATTTAAATTCTCAAATTGAATTAAAACCATTATTATTTGAAAGTTTTAATAGTTTTGCTGATGAATTTTTCCGCAAAACTTAATTACAAAAGCGAATTTTAATATTTAAACCATAAAATGACCACACCATATATGACCCGCCCCAGTGCAATGCATATCACATAATGAATTAACTTCAAAATATTGCTATTTTTAGTTGTTTTGGCACTTAATTAAAATTAAAAATGATAGAACCAATTTTCATGTTAAATGTAAGAAAACTGTTATAAATTTTAAAATTTTTAAAAAAATCAAAATTTCAAATTGAAATTATTTTTAATTTTGAACCTTAAATTGATTAAGACCATTATTAAATGAAAGTTTTATTAATTTTGCTGACGAATTTTTGAGCAAAACTTAATTATAAAATTTTAATTGTTAATTTGAATTTAATTGATTTCACTTCTCTAATATTATAAAAAAACTTAGTTATTAAAGTTTATTTTCTTATTTATGTTGTCAATTGACCACACCATAAGCGACCGGTACGTATGCAATGCATCGAATTAATCAATTGAGTTCAAAATAACTAATTTTTTTTATGAATTGACATTTTTTAATAGTTTTAACATTTAATTAAAATCATAATTGATAAAACAAGAAATTATTTTCCCGTTTAATATACAAAAACTCTTTTCCAAATTATAAAATATTCACCAAAATCAATGTTTAGATTTGAAATAAAGCTTAAGCCTAAGCCTAAGTATACACTAAGCCTAAGCCTAAGCATTATTTTATTATTTAAGATGTCAAATGACTACAATGTTCAAGCACTATGCGTATATAATAATCAATTTTTTTTTATTAAATGATAATTTTTAATAGTTTTAACATCCTTTAAAATTAAATTTTGATCATAATAAGACTTCTTACCTAGTTTAATATGCAAATACCTGTACAAATTATGGGAATTTTATAAATGGGTTATTTAAATTTGAAATATAAATTTATTTTAATTGTAAGAATGAATAGGAATCGTGATAAATTAAAAATTAAATTAATTTTGCCAATAAAATATTGATTGAAACTTAACCTCTAAAGTTTATTTTATTATTATTGCAGGTCAAATGACCACGATGTGTGTGACCGGCACCTATGCAACGCATAAAACTGCAATGCATATAACATAATGAATTAACTTCAAAATATTGCTATTTTTAGAAGTTTTGGCACTTAATTAAAATTAAAAATGATAATTTAGAACCAATTTTCATGTTAAATGTAAGAAAACTGTTATAAATTTTAAAATTTTTAAAAAATTCAAAATTTAAATCTGAAATTAAATTTAATTTAAATTCTCAAATTCAATTAGAACCATTATTAATTGAAAGTTTTAATAGTTTTGCTGATGAATTTTTGCGCAAAACTTAATTATAAAAGCGTATTTCAATGTTTAAACTATAAAATGACCACACTATATATGACCCGCCCCAGTGCAATGCATACAAAATAATGAATTAACTTCAAAATATTGCTATTTTTAGCAATTTTGGCACTTAATTAAAATAAAAAATGACGATTTAGAACCAATTTTCATGTTAAATGTAAGAAAACTGTTACAAATTATAAAATTTTTAAAAAATTCAAATTTTAAATTCGAAATTAAATTTAATTTAAATTCTCAAATTGAATTAAAACCATTATTAATTGAAAGTTTTATTAGTTTTGCTGATGAATTTTTGCGCAAAACTTAATTATAAAAGCCCATTTTAATATTTAAACTATAAAATGACCACACCATATTTGTCCCGCCCCGGTGCAATGCATACAACATAATGAATTATTGCTATTTTTAGTAGCTTTGGCACTTAATTAAATTTAAAAAGGATAATTTAGAACCAATTTTCTTGTTAAATGTAAGAAAACTGTTACAAATTTTAAAATTTTTAAAAATTTCAAAATTTAAATTTGAAATTGAATTAAAACCATTATTAATTGAAGTTTTTAATAGTTTTGCTGATGAATTTTTGCGCAAAACTTAATTATAAAAGCGTATTTCAATGTTTAAACTATAAAATGACCACACTATATATGACCCGTCCCAGTGCAATGCATATAACATAATGAATTAACTTCAAAATATTGCTATTTTTAATAGTTTTGGCACTTAATTAAAATTAAAAATGATAATTTAGAACCAAATTTCATGTTAAATGTAAGAAAACTGTTATAAATTTTAAAATTTTTAAAAAATTCAAAATTTAAATTCGAAATTAAATTTAATTTAAATTCTCAAATTGAATTAAAACCATTATTAATTGAAGGTTTTAATGGTTTTGCTGATGAATTTTTCCGCAAAACTTAATTACAAAAGCGAATTTTAATATTTAAACTATAAAATGACCACACCATATTTGTCCCGCCCCGGTGCAATGCATACAACATAATGAATTATTGCTATTTTTAGTAGCTTTGGCACTTAATTAAATTTAAAAAGGATAATTTAGAACCAATTTTCTTGTTAAATGTAAGAAAACTGTTACAAATTTTAAAATTTTTAAAAATTTCAAAATTTAAATTTGAAATTGAATTAAAACCATTATTAATTGAAGTTTTTAATAGTTTTGCTGATGAATTTTTGCGCAAAACTTAATTATAAAAGCGTATTTCAATGTTTAAACTATAAAATGACCACACTATATATGACCCGTCCCAGTGCAATGCATATAACATAATGAATTAACTTCAAAATATTGCTATTTTTAATAGTTTTGGCACTTAATTAAAATTAAAAATGATAATTTAGAACCAAATTTCATGTTAAATGTAAGAAAACTGTTATAAATTTTAAAATTTTTAAAAAATTCAAAATTTAAATTCGAAATTAAATTTAATTTAAATTCTCAAATTGAATTAAAACCATTATTAATTGAAGGTTTTAATGGTTTTGCTGATGAATTTTTCCGCAAAACTTAATTACAAAAGCGAATTTTATTATTTAAACCATAAAATGACCACACCATATATGACCCGCCCCAGTGCAATGCATATCACATAATGAATTAACTTCAAAATATTGCTATTTTTAGTAGTTTTGGCACTTAATTAAAATTAAAAATGATAGAACCAATTTTCATGTTAAATGTAAGAAAACTGTTATAAAATTTAAAATTTTTAAAAAATTCAAAATTTAAATTTGAAATTAAATATAATTTAAATTCTCAAATTGAATTAGAACTATTATTATTGAAAGTTTTAATAGTTTTGCTGATGAATTTTTGCGCAAAACTTTTTTACAAAAGCGTATTTCAATGTTTAAACTATAAAATGACCACACTATATATGACCCGCCCCAGTGCAATGCATACAAAATAATGAATTAACTTCAAAATATTGCTATTTTTAGTAGTTTGGCACTTAATTAAAATTAAAATTGATAGAACCAATTTTCATGTTAAATGTAAGAAAACTGTTATAAATTATAAAATTTTTAAAAAATTCAAAATTTCAAATTGAAGTTAAATTTAATTTAAATTCTCGAATTGAATTAAAACCATCATTAATTGAAACTTTCAATAGTTTTGCTGATGAATTTTTGCGCAAAACTTAATTAGGAAAGCGTATTCTAATATTTAAACTATAAAATGACCACACTATATATGACCCGCTCTCTGCTCTAGAAAGTGAACGATTTCTACTAACTCTTCTTCTGCTTCATCAATCCCAGCAACATTATCAAATGTCACTTTTCTCCGCTAGTCATGAGCGTAGCTTTTGATTTGCCAAAGCTTATAGTTCTGTTACCTTCTTTTTGTGTTACCTGTTTGCGTTTCTTTTAAAAGGAACAGCAACGAGCCAATAAAGATAAATGTTGGAATCTATTGGATAAGATAAGTAATCTACCAATTCACTTTTCTGTGATGACAATGTATGTGACCAGTTCCCGCACTATGCATATAAAATATTAAATTAGTTTCTAATTCTCTATTTTTTTAATATTTTTTATACTTAACTAAATTAAAATTTGATAGTCAATCTTACTTTTCTTGCTTTACATGTTTTTGTAACGTTTTGAATTACAGAAAATTGTGACACACTTACACCCACTACTTGTTGTGCATGTTGATCTAGGTTCCATTCTAATCTTCATTGCATCAACACCTGCATCAACATCAATTACGTCAATCTCTTCTCTGACCATAGTTTCACATCTTTCTATACCATCCTTTTTACCAGTACCAATTGCAGCGGCAACTCTGAACCGCTCTTAAGTATCATTACATGAATTAGGGTATCTATTGCATTTCTTAATATCTTTAACTGTGATCAAATCTATAGAGTAGGAGTTTTCATCTATGACCAAAGCTTTTCTATTCTATTCTCATGCAATAGTTTCATTGCTGAAGCGCTCCCGTATTGTAACTAACTTCTCTTTTGTCATTACCTCGGGGACTTTTATACTTTTTTCTGATTTTTTTAACCATCAACAAACCTTATATCTCTGTTAATTAAAACTCTGACTAACTTGCATTGATCAACCACAGGAATACCAAAAGATTTTTCAATAATGAAATTGCTTCTGCAACTGTTTTATCAGGGGAACAACACAGTCTGAAGTAAAAGAGTCAATAGTCAATTGCTTAAATAATCCATTGACTTTTTTTGCTTTCTTTTTGTACTTATGTATGAGAGACAAACTGCTTTGGTCAGTGTGGCTCAGTCGGTAGAGCATCAGCTTGTGGTACTGAGTGCGGCTAGTTCGGCTCTGCTCACTCTCTTCAGGAAGATTGTTCCCTGCCTTATGATGAGTACTAAATTAGTGTGCAATTACACAGCCAGCAAAGGCTCCTTGAATAATCCGAGTGGGTGTGGCTCAGTTCGTAGGGCATCAGCTTGTGGCATTGAGTGCGGCTAGCTCGGCTCTGCTCGCTGCCTCACTTAAAATCTCCTCTGTATTATTGTGAGTCTTTAATTAGCCAACAAAAACTCCCCAAACCAACCATTTAAGTGGGTATTGGCTCAGTTGGTAGGACAATCAGTTTATGGCACTGAGTGCGCTTAGTTCGGTTCTGGTCGCTCTCCCAAATGAAATCTCCCTTGCAAAATGATGAGTCCTAAACACAGCAAAAACTCTCTAAATCATCTGAAAATTCCAATAAACGATTGTCAGACATGTTATGTTCAACCTACTGTCTTCATCAGATGCACCTCAACTTCTTGACTAAATTTAACGAAGTTGGTAAGGAATATAGCATTATCGTCAATAAACGCATAGGGCAGTTTATATATCTATTGCCTCTTTATTTAAAAGAAGCTTTTTTTGCCATCTTCATCTTCTATACCAAGCTTTTAGTTATTTTGTATATTTAATGCTCAGAAGTAAAATCTATTACTCCTTTAGAATCTAATTCTTCTTTTTGCTTTCGGATAACTGATAGAATATTAAATCTTCAGTAAAGTCAGGAGCAGACGATATACCAATTAGTGCTGCAATTCTTTCTGAAAGTTGGAGAGTAGTGAGCAACATCAGGCACCGTCTCATGCTTGAACCTATAATTATTTGCTTGCCGTTACGAGTTACTCTAACACAATTTTTTTGCCAATCACTCATCGTGTAATCAGTGTAATCAGCACCTGACTAACCAATAACCATGACCAAAGTAATCAAATAACACAAATGCTATATGAGTTTCTTGACAAAATTTTTAAATAGCAGCTGTTCTAATTCCGTTCATATTGAGTGAAAATCCACTGAAAAAGACTATGGAAGCTTTTTTTTTTCCTTTGTAGCTCGCAATGTGCTATGTACTTACTGTTTTCATCAAGCAAAGTAATGCTGTAATCCATGTTATTTTGGTATAGCAACCTGACTATCGTTTACTTGACACTCAAGTAACTGATTAGATCTGCAATTTCCTGCGGATTGAAAATATCTGCAAATGTCATATGCGTGCCTTTTATATAGGCTTTTGAACTCTTTAAGAAGGCAAATAATTCTTCATATCTCTCTCCACTTTTGATTCTTTTCAAGCATTGCTTTTGAGTAATAATCTACCACTGCTATTTCCCACCAAGTTGCAAATACACCAAGAAGAATAGCAGCACTTGCGGTTGCAACAAGACAAACTCATAGCAACACTTGCTGATGACATAGAGATCATCAGTACTGCTGCTGCTGCTGCTGCTGCTGCTGCTGCTGCTGCTGCTGCTGCTGCTGCTGCTGCTGCTGCTGCTGCTGCTGCTGCTGCTGCTGCTGCTGCTGCTGCTATTACTTAAGTCTTTCCTTCCCTCTTTTTCGTTAATGTCATTGCGATAGCAGCAATCCTATAGCTACAAGCGCTAGCAAAGCTGAACCCACAATTCTAACTATTACTAAAAGTGACAGACCTATAAAATTGAACCCTAACCCTACAATAGCTTAACCCTATTACACTGCCTACTACTATAATTATCCGTGCACCCCACTGAAATTCATAAGAAATTTTACTCATTAAGAAATTAGAAATTTTATTAACATTCCTACTCAAATATTTTTTACAACTTAAACATTAAAGTTTAGTTTATTATCTAAATGATCAAATGACCAGCCGTAAATGACCAGTACCTATGCAACTCTTATAAATTAATCAATTAAGTTCAAAATGCCTATTTTTTAATGAATTAATATTTTTCATTATTTTAATTTTTCATTAAAATAAGTTTTTGACATTACTGAAATTTATTTTACAGTTTAATATACAAAACTCTAATAAATTATTGAATTTTCATAAAATTTGATATTTATATTTGAAATAAAAATTAATTTTAGTTATAAGAATGAATTAGAGCAGTGACAAGTAAGGAATTTAATTAATTTTGCTACTGAAATATCATTCAAAACGTAATTATTAAAGATTATTTAATTATTTACGCTGATCAAATGACCACGATGTATGTGACCAGTACTATGCAATGCACACAAATTAATCAATTAAGTTCAAAATATCTCTTTGTTTTTAATGAATTGATATTTCTCAATATTATAACATTTAACTAGATTAAATTTTGACAATTCTGGCATTTATTTCATAGTCTAATATACAAAAACTTTCAAAAATTATACAATTTTTATAAATTATGGTATTTAAAGTTGGAAAAAAAATTAATTATAATTATAAGAATGAAATAAACCTATGACAAATAAAGAATTTAATTAATTTTGCAAATAAAATATTGATTAAAAGTTAATTATTAAAGTTTATTTTATTATTAGTGTTGGTCAAATGACTACACCGTAAATAACCAGTGCTATGGAACGCTTATAAATTAATCAATTAAGCTCAAATTATCTATTTTTTTTTAAAGAATTGATATTTATAATATATTAACATTTAATTAAAATAAATTTTGACAATACAGGGATTCATTTTACTGTTTAATATACAAAACCCTAATAAATCATTGAATATTCATAAAATATGATATTTAAATTTGAAATAAAAATTAATTTTAATTGTGAGAATGAATTAAAACCGTCAAAAATTAAAAATTTAATCAATCCCGCTAGTCAAATATTGATTGAAATTTCATTTTTAAAGTTTACTGAATTATTTATGCTGATAAATTGACCAACTGTAAATGACCAGTACCCTTGCAATGCATATAAATTAATCATTTAAGCTCAAAATATCTAACTTTTTTAATGAATATATATATATATATTTTAACAGTTTTAACATCTAATTAAAATTTGTTATTACTAGAAATTGTTTCGTAGTCTAATATACAAAATATGCTCTGATTCATTGCAAATCATAAAATTTTCATAAAATTCGATCTTAAGATTTCAAATAAAAATTAATTTTAGCTGCAGAAATGAATTAAATCTGCGACAAACCAAAAATTTTATTAATTTCACTTCTCGAATATTAAAAAAAAAACTAAGTTATTAAAGTTTATTTTCTTATTTATGTTGTCAATTGACCACACCGTAAGTGACCGGTACGTATGCAACGCATAAAATTAATCAATTTAGTTCAAAATAACTAATTTTTTTTAATGAAATGATATTTTTTAATAGTTTTAATAGTTTTAATTGATATTTTAACAATTGAGTTCAAAATAATAATTGATATTTTTAATAATAATTGATAATTTTTAAAAACAAACAAAAACTAATTTTAGCTGCAGAAATGAATTAAATCCACGACAAATTAAAAATCTTATTAATTTCACCTCTCAAATATTAAAAAAAAAACTTAGTTATTAAAGTTTATTCTCTTATTACGTATGCAACGCATAAAATTAAATAACTGAGTTCAAAATAACTAATTTTTTTTAAGGAATTGATATTTTTTAATAGTTTTAACATTTAATTAAAATCAAAATTGATAAAACTAGATATTTTTTCTCCCTTTAATATACCAAAGCTCTTGCAAATTATAAAATTTTCACCAAAATCAATATTTAGATTTGAAATAATGCTTAAGCCTAAGCCTAAATATACCCTAAGCCTAAGCCTAAGCATTATTTTATTATTTAAAATGTCAAATGACCACAATGTGTGTGACCAGTTCACGCACTATGCGAATATAATAATCAATTTTTTTTTTATTCAATGATATTTTTTAATAGTTTTAACATCCTCTGAAATTAAATTTTGATAATAGTAGAACTTCTTACCTAGTTTTATATGCAAATACCCGTATAAATTATGGGATTTTTGTAAATGTATTATTTAAATTTGAAATATAAATTAATTTTAATTGTAAGAATGAATTAAAACCGTCAAAAATTAAAAATTTAATCAATCCCGCTAGTCAAATATTGATTGAAATTTCATTTTTAAAGTTTACTGAATTATTTATGCTGATAAATTGACCAACTGTAAATGACCAGTACCCTTGCAATGCATATAAATTAATCATTTAAGCTCAAAATATCTAACTTTTTTAATGAATATATATATATATATATTTTAACAGTTTTAACATCTAATTAAAATTTGTTATTACTAGAAATTGTTTCGTAGTCTAATATACAAAATATGCTCTGATTCATTGCAAATCATAAAATTTTCATAAAATTCGATCTTAAGATTTCAAATAAAAATTAATTTTAGCTGCAGAAATGAATTAAATCTGCGACAAACCAAAAATTTTATTAATTTCACTTCTCGAATATTAAAAAAAAAACTTAGTTATTAAAGTTTATTTTCTTATTTATGTTGTCAATTGACCACACCATAAGCGACCGGTACGTATGCAATGCATCGAATTAATCAATTGAGTTCAAAATAACTAATTTTTTTTATGAATTGACATTTTTTAATAGTTTTAACATTTAATTAAAATCATAATTGATAAAACAAGAAATTATTTTCCCGTTTAATATACAAAAACTCTTTTCCAAATTATAAAATATTCACCAAAATCAATGTTTAGATTTGAAATAAAGCTTAAGCCTAAGCCTAAGTATACACTAAGCCTAAGCCTAAGCATTATTTTATTATTTAAGATGTCAAATGACTACAATGTTCAAGCACTATGCGTATATAATAATCAATTTTTTTTTATTAAATGATAATTTTTAATAGTTTTAACATCCTTTAAAATTAAATTTTGATCATAATAAGACTTCTTACCTAGTTTAATATGCAAATACCTGTACAAATTGTGGGAATTTTATAAATGGGTTATTTAAATTTGAAATATAAATTTATTTTAATTGTAAGAATGAATAGGAATCGTGATAAATTAAAAATTTAATTTTGCCAATAAAATATTGATTGAAACTTAACTTCTAAAGTTTATTTTATTATTATTGCTGGTCAAATGACCACGATGTGCGTGATCGGTACCTATGGAACGCATAAAACTGCAATGCATATAACATAATGAATTAACATCAAAATATTGCTATTTTTTGCAGTTTTGGCACTAAATTAAAATAAAAAATGATAATTTAGAACCAATTTTCTTGTTAAATCTAAGAAAACTATTACAAATTTTAAAATTTTTAAAAAATTCAAAATTTAAATTTGAAATTAAATTTAATTTTGAACCTTAAATTGATTAAAACCATGATTAATTGAAAGTTTTATTAATTTTGCTGACGAATTTTTGAGCAAAACTTAATTATAAAATTTTAATTGTTAATTTGAATTTAATTGATTTCACTTCTCTAATATTATAAAAAAACTTAGTTATTAAAGTTTATTTTCTTATTTATGTTGTCAATTGACCACACCATAAGCGACCGGTACGTATGCAATGCATCGAATTAATCAATTGAGTTCAAAATAACTAATTTTTTTTATGAATTGACATTTTTTAATAGTTTTAACATTTAATTAAAATCATAATTGATAAAACAAGAAATTATTTTCCCGTTTAATATACAAAAACTCTTTTCCAAATTATAAAATATTCACCAAAATCAATGTTTAGATTTGAAATAAAGCTTAAGCCTAAGCCTAAGTATACACTAAGCCTAAGCCTAAGCATTATTTTATTATTTAAGATGTCAAATGACTACAATGTTCAAGCACTATGCGTATATAATAATCAATTTTTTTTTATTAAATGATAATTTTTAATAGTTTTAACATCCTTTAAAATTAAATTTTGATCATAATAAGACTTCTTACCTAGTTTAATATGCAAATACCTGTACAAATTGTGGGAATTTTATAAATGGGTTATTTAAATTTGAAATATAAATTTATTTTAATTGTAAGAATGAATAGGAATCGTGATAAATTAAAAATTAAATTAATTTTGCCAATAAAATATTGATTGAAACTTAACCTCTAAAGTTTATTTTATTATTATTGCAGGTCAAATGACCACGATGTGTGTGACCGGCACCTATGCAACGCATAAAACTGCAATGCATATAACATAATGAATTAACTTCAAAATATTGCTATTTTTAGAAGTTTTGGCACTTAATTAAAATTAAAAATGATAATTTAGAACCAATTTTCATGTTAAATGTAAGAAAACTGTTATAAATTTTAAAATTTTTAAAAAATTCAAAATTTAAATCTGAAATTAAATTTAATTTAAATTCTCAAATTCAATTAGAACCATTATTAATTGAAAGTTTTAATAGTTTTGCTGATGAATTTTTCCGCAAAACTTAATTATAAAAGCGTATTTCAATGTTTAAACTATAAAATGACCACACTATATATGACCCGCCCCAGTGCAATGCATACAAAATAATGAATTAACTTCAAAATATTGCTATTTTTAGTAGTTTTGGCACTTAATTAAAATTAAAAATGATAGAACCAATTTTCATGTTAAATGTAAGAAAACTGTTATAAAATTTAAAATTTTTAAAAAATTCAAAATTTAAATTTGAAATTAAATATAATTTAAAATGAATTAGAACTCAAATTGAATTAGAACTATTATTATTGAAAGTTTTAATAGTTTTGCTGATGAATTTTTGCGCAAAACTTTTTTACAAAAGCGTATTTCAATGTTTAAACTATAAAATGACCACACTATATATGACCCGCCCCAGTGCAATGCATACAAAATAATGAATTAACTTCAAAATATTGCTATTTTTAATAGTTTTGGCACTTAATTAAAATTAAAAATGATAATTTAGAACCAAATTTCATGTTAAATGTAAGAAAACTGTTATAAATTTTAAAATTTTTAAAAAATTCAAAATTTAAATTCGAAATTAAATTTAATTTAAATTCTCAAATTGAATTAAAACCATTATTAATTGAAGGTTTTAATGGTTTTGCTGATGAATTTTTGCGCAAAACTTAATTATAAAAGCGTATTTCAATGTTTAAACTATAAAATGACCACACTATATATGACCCGCCCCAGTGCAATGCATACAAAATAATGAATTAACTTCAAAATATTGCTATTTTTAGTAGTTTGGCACTTAATTAAAATTAAAATTGATAATTTAGAACCAATTTTCATGTTAAATGTAAGAAAACTGTTACAAATTATAAAATTTTTAAAAAATTCAAATTTTAAATTCGAAATTAAATTTAATTTAAATTCTCAAATTGAATTAAAACCATTATTAATTGAAAGTTTTATTAATTTTGCTGATGAATTTATGCGCAAAACTTAATTATAAAAGCCCATTTTAATATTTAAACTATAAAATGACCACACCATATTTGTCCCGCCCCGGTGCAATGCATACAACATAATGAATTATTGCTATTTTTAGTAGCTTTGGCACTTAATTAAATTTAAAAAGGATAATTTAGAACCAATTTTCTTGTTAAATGTAAGAAAACTGTTACAAATTTTAAAATTTTTAAAAATTTCAAAATTTAAATTTGAAATTGAATTAAAACCATTATTAATTGAAGTTTTTAATAGTTTTGCTGATGAATTTATGCGCAAAACTTAATTATAAAAGCGTATTTCAATGTTTAAACTATAAAATGACCACACTATATATGACCCGTCCCAGTGCAATGCATATAACATAATGAATTAACTTCAAAATATTGCTATTTTTAATAGTTTTGGCACTTAATTAAAATTAAAAATGATAATTTAGAACCAAATTTCATGTTAAATGTAAGAAAACTGTTATAAATTTTAAAATTTTTAAAAAATTCAAAATTTAAATTCGAAATTAAATTTAATTTAAATTCTCAAATTGAATTAAAACCATTATTAATTGAAGGTTTTAATGGTTTTGCTGATGAATTTTTCCGCAAAACTTAATTACAAAAGCGAATTTTAATATTTAAACTATAAAATGACCACACCATATTTGTCCCGCCCCGGTGCAATGCATACAACATAATGAATTATTGCTATTTTTAGTAGCTTTGGCACTTAATTAAATTTAAAAAGGATAATTTAGAACCAATTTTCTTGTTAAATGTAAGAAAACTGTTACAAATTTTAAAATTTTTAAAAATTTCAAAATTTAAATTTGAAATTGAATTAAAACCATTATTAATTGAAGTTTTTAATAGTTTTGCTGATGAATTTTTGCGCAAAACTTAATTATAAAAGCGTATTTCAATGTTTAAACTATAAAATGACCACACTATATATGACCCGTCCCAGTGCAATGCATATAACATAATGAATTAACTTCAAAATATTGCTATTTTTAATAGTTTTGGCACTTAATTAAAATTAAAAATGATAATTTAGAACCAAATTTCATGTTAAATGTAAGAAAACTGTTATAAATTTTAAAATTTTTAAAAAATTCAAAATTTAAATTCGAAATTAAATTTAATTTAAATTCTCAAATTGAATTAAAACCATTATTAATTGAAGGTTTTAATGGTTTTGCTGATGAATTTTTCCGCAAAACTTAATTACAAAAGCGAATTTTATTATTTAAACCATAAAATGACCACACCATATATGACCCGCCCCAGTGCAATGCATATCACATAATGAATTAACTTCAAAATATTGCTATTTTTAGTAGTTTTGGCACTTAATTAAAATTAAAAATGATAGAACCAATTTTCATGTTAAATGTAAGAAAACTGTTATAAAATTTAAAATTTTTAAAAAATTCAAAATTTAAATTTGAAATTAAATATAATTTAAATTCTCAAATTGAATTAGAACTATTATTATTGAAAGTTTTAATAGTTTTGCTGATGAATTTTTGCGCAAAACTTTTTTACAAAAGCGTATTTCAATGTTTAAACTATAAAATGACCACACTATATATGACCCGCCCCAGTGCAATGCATACAAAATAATGAATTAACTTCAAAATATTGCTATTTTTAGTAGTTTGGCACTTAATTAAAATTAAAATTGATAGAACCAATTTTCATGTTAAATGTAAGAAAACTGTTATAAATTATAAAATTTTTAAAAAATTCAAAATTTCAAATTGAAGTTAAATTTAATTTAAATTCTCGAATTGAATTAAAACCATCATTAATTGAAACTTTCAATAGTTTTGCTGATGAATTTTTGCGCAAAACTTAATTAGGAAAGCGTATTCTAATATTTAAACTATAAAATGACCACACTATATATGACCCGCTCTCTGCTCTAGAAAGTGAACGATTTCTACTAACTCTTCTTCTGCTTCATCAATCCCAGCAACATTATCAAATGTCACTTTTCTCCGCTAGTCATGAGCGTAGCTTTTGATTTGCCAAAGCTTATAGTTCTGTTACCTTCTTTTTGTGTTACCTGTTTGCGTTTCTTTTAAAAGGAACAGCAACGAGCCAATAAAGATAAATGTTGGAATCTATTGGATAAGATAAGTAATCTACCAATTCACTTTTCTGTGATGACAATGTATGTGACCAGTTCCCGCACTATGCATATAAAATATTAAATTAGTTTCTAATTCTCTATTTTTTTAATATTTTTTATACTTAACTAAATTAAAATTTGATAGTCAATCTTACTTTTCTTGCTTTACATGTTTTTGTAACGTTTTGAATTACAGAAAATTGTGACACACTTACACCCACTACTTGTTGTGCATGTTGATCTAGGTTCCATTCTAATCTTCATTGCATCAACACCTGCATCAACATCAATTACGTCAATCTCTTCTCTGACCATAGTTTCACATCTTTCTATACCATCCTTTTTACCAGTACCAATTGCAGCGGCAACTCTGAACCGCTCTTAAGTATCATTACATGAATTAGGGTATCTATTGCATTTCTTAATATCTTTAACTGTGATCAAATCTATAGAGTAGGAGTTTTCATCTATGACCAAAGCTTTTCTATTCTATTCTCATGCAATAGTTTCATTGCTGAAGCGCTCCCGTATTGTAACTAACTTCTCTTTTGTCATTACCTCGGGGACTTTTATACTTTTTTCTGATTTTTTTAACCATCAACAAACCTTATATCTCTGTTAATTAAAACTCTGACTAACTTGCATTGATCAACCACAGGAATACCAAAAGATTTTTCAATAATGAAATTGCTTCTGCAACTGTTTTATCAGGGGAACAACACAGTCTGAAGTAAAAGAGTCAATAGTCAATTGCTTAAATAATCCATTGACTTTTTTTGCTTTCTTTTTGTACTTATGTATGAGAGACAAACTGCTTTGGTCAGTGTGGCTCAGTCGGTAGAGCATCAGCTTGTGGTACTGAGTGCGGCTAGTTCGGCTCTGCTCACTCTCTTCAGGAAGATTGTTCCCTGCCTTATGATGAGTACTAAATTAGTGTGCAATTACACAGCCAGCAAAGGCTCCTTGAATAATCCGAGTGGGTGTGGCTCAGTTCGTAGGGCATCAGCTTGTGGCATTGAGTGCGGCTAGCTCGGCTCTGCTCGCTGCCTCACTTAAAATCTCCTCTGTATTATTGTGAGTCTTTAATTAGCCAACAAAAACTCCCCAAACCAACCATTTAAGTGGGTATTGGCTCAGTTGGTAGGACAATCAGTTTATGGCACTGAGTGCGCTTAGTTCGGTTCTGGTCGCTCTCCCAAATGAAATCTCCCTTGCAAAATGATGAGTCCTAAACACAGCAAAAACTCTCTAAATCATCTGAAAATTCCAATAAACGATTGTCAGACATGTTATGTTCAACCTACTGTCTTCATCAGATGCACCTCAACTTCTTGACTAAATTTAACGAAGTTGGTAAGGAATATAGCATTATCGTCAATAAACGCATAGGGCAGTTTATATATCTATTGCCTCTTTATTTAAAAGAAGCTTTTTTTGCCATCTTCATCTTCTATACCAAGCTTTTAGTTATTTTGTATATTTAATGCTCAGAAGTAAAATCTATTACTCCTTTAGAATCTAATTCTTCTTTTTGCTTTCGGATAACTGATAGAATATTAAATCTTCAGTAAAGTCAGGAGCAGACGATATACCAATTAGTGCTGCAATTCTTTCTGAAAGTTGGAGAGTAGTGAGCAACATCAGGCACCGTCTCATGCTTGAACCTATAATTATTTGCTTGCCGTTACGAGTTACTCTAACACAATTTTTTTGCCAATCACTCATCGTGTAATCAGTGTAATCAGCACCTGACTAACCAATAACCATGACCAAAGTAATCAAATAACACAAATGCTATATGAGTTTCTTGACAAAATTTTTAAATAGCAGCTGTTCTAATTCCGTTCATATTGAGTGAAAATCCACTGAAAAAGACTATGGAAGCTTTTTTTTTTCCTTTGTAGCTCGCAATGTGCTATGTACTTACTGTTTTCATCAAGCAAAGTAATGCTGTAATCCATGTTATTTTGGTATAGCAACCTGACTATCGTTTACTTGACACTCAAGTAACTGATTAGATCTGCAATTTCCTGCGGATTGAAAATATCTGCAAATGTCATATGCGTGCCTTTTATATAGGCTTTTGAACTCTTTAAGAAGGCAAATAATTCTTCATATCTCTCTCCACTTTTGATTCTTTTCAAGCATTGCTTTTGAGTAATAATCTACCACTGCTATTTCCCACCAAGTTGCAAATACACCAAGAAGAATAGCAGCACTTGCGGTTGCAACAAGACAAACTCATAGCAACACTTGCTGATGACATAGAGATCATCAGTACTGCTGCTGCTGCTGCTGCTGCTGCTGCTGCTGCTGCTGCTGCTGCTGCTGCTGCTGCTGCTGCTGCTGCTGCTGCTGCTGCTGCTGCTGCTGCTGCTGCTGCTGCTGCTGCTGCTGCTGCTGCTGCTGCTGCTGCTGCTGCTATTACTTAAGTCTTTCCTTCCCTCTTTTTCGTTAATGTCATTGCGATAGCAGCAATCCTATAGCTACAAGCGCTAGCAAAGCTGAACCCACAATTCTAACTATTACTAAAAGTGACAGACCTATAAAATTGAACCCTAACCCTACAATAGCTTAACCCTATTACACTGCCTACTACTATAATTATCCGTGCACCCCACTGAAATTCATAAGAAATTTTACTCATTAAGAAATTAGAAATTTTATTAACATTCCTACTCAAATATTTTTTACAACTTAAACATTAAAGTTTAGTTTATTATCTAAATGATCAAATGACCAGCCGTAAATGACCAGTACCTATGCAACTCTTATAAATTAATCAATTAAGTTCAAAATGCCTATTTTTTAATGAATTAATATTTTTCATTATTTTAATTTTTCATTAAAATAAGTTTTTGACATTACTGAAATTTATTTTACAGTTTAATATACAAAACTCTAATAAATTATTGAATTTTCATAAAATTTGATATTTATATTTGAAATAAAAATTAATTTTAGTTATAAGAATGAATTAGAGCAGTGACAAGTAAGGAATTTAATTAATTTTGCTACTGAAATATCATTCAAAACGTAATTATTAAAGATTATTTAATTATTTACGCTGATCAAATGACCACGATGTATGTGACCAGTACTATGCAATGCACACAAATTAATCAATTAAGTTCAAAATATCTCTTTGTTTTTAATGAATTGATATTTCTCAATATTATAACATTTAACTAGATTAAATTTTGACAATTCTGGCATTTATTTCATAGTCTAATATACAAAAACTTTCAAAAATTATACAATTTTTATAAATTATGGTATTTAAAGTTGGAAAAAAAATTAATTATAATTATAAGAATGAAATAAACCTATGACAAATAAAGAATTTAATTAATTTTGCAAATAAAATATTGATTAAAAGTTAATTATTAAAGTTTATTTTATTATTAGTGTTGGTCAAATGACTACACCGTAAATAACCAGTGCTATGGAACGCTTATAAATTAATCAATTAAGCTCAAATTATCTATTTTTTTTTTAAAGAATTGATATTTATAATATATTAACATTTAATTAAAATAAATTTTGACAATACAGGGATTCATTTTACTGTTTAATATACAAAACCCTAATAAATCATTGAATATTCATAAAATATGATATTTAAATTTGAAATAAAAATTAATTTTAATTGTGAGAATGAATTAAAACCGTCAAAAATTAAAAATTTAATCAATCCCGCTAGTCAAATATTGATTGAAATTTCATTTTTAAAGTTTACTGAATTATTTATGCTGATAAATTGACCAACTGTAAATGACCAGTACCCTTGCAATGCATATAAATTAATCATTTAAGCTCAAAATATCTAACTTTTTTAATGAATATATATATATATATATTTTAACAGTTTTAACATCTAATTAAAATTTGTTATTACTAGAAATTGTTTCGTAGTCTAATATACAAAATATGCTCTGATTCATTGCAAATCATAAAATTTTCATAAAATTCGATCTTAAGATTTCAAATAAAAATTAATTTTAGCTGCAGAAATGAATTAAATCTGCGACAAACCAAAAATTTTATTAATTTCACTTCTCGAATATTAAAAAAAAAACTAAGTTATTAAAGTTTATTTTCTTATTTATGTTGTCAATTGACCACACCGTAAGTGACCGGTACGTATGCAACGCATAAAATTAATCAATTTAGTTCAAAATAACTAATTTTTTTTAATGAAATGATATTTTTTAATAGTTTTAATAGTTTTAATTGATATTTTAACAATTGAGTTCAAAATAATAATTGATATTTTTAATAATAATTGATAATTTTTAAAAACAAACAAAAACTAATTTTAGCTGCAGAAATGAATTAAATCCACGACAAATTAAAAATCTTATTAATTTCACCTCTCAAATATTAAAAAAAAAACTTAGTTATTAAAGTTTATTCTCTTATTACGTATGCAACGCATAAAATTAAATAACTGAGTTCAAAATAACTAATTTTTTTTAAGGAATTGATATTTTTTAATAGTTTTAACATTTAATTAAAATCAAAATTGATAAAACTAGATATTTTTTCTCCCTTTAATATACCAAAGCTCTTGCAAATTATAAAATTTTCACCAAAATCAATATTTAGATTTGAAATAATGCTTAAGCCTAAGCCTAAATATACCCTAAGCCTAAGCCTAAGCATTATTTTATTATTTAAAATGTCAAATGACCACAATGTGTGTGACCAGTTCACGCACTATGCGAATATAATAATCAATTTTTTTTTTATTCAATGATATTTTTTAATAGTTTTAACATCCTCTGAAATTAAATTTTGATAATAGTAGAACTTCTTACCTAGTTTTATATGCAAATACCCGTATAAATTATGGGATTTTTGTAAATGTATTATTTAAATTTGAAATATAAATTAATTTTAATTGTAAGAATGAATTAAAACCGTCAAAAATTAAAAATTTAATCAATCCCGCTAGTCAAATATTGATTGAAATTTCATTTTTAAAGTTTACTGAATTATTTATGCTGATAAATTGACCAACTGTAAATGACCAGTACCCTTGCAATGCATATAAATTAATCATTTAAGCTCAAAATATCTAACTTTTTTAATGAATATATATATATATATATTTTAACAGTTTTAACATCTAATTAAAATTTGTTATTACTAGAAATTGTTTCGTAGTCTAATATACAAAATATGCTCTGATTCATTGCAAATCATAAAATTTTCATAAAATTCGATCTTAAGATTTCAAATAAAAATTAATTTTAGCTGCAGAAATGAATTAAATCTGCGACAAACCAAAAATTTTATTAATTTCACTTCTCGAATATTAAAAAAAAAACTTAGTTATTAAAGTTTATTTTCTTATTTATGTTGTCAATTGACCACACCATAAGCGACCGGTACGTATGCAATGCATCGAATTAATCAATTGAGTTCAAAATAACTAATTTTTTTTATGAATTGACATTTTTTAATAGTTTTAACATTTAATTAAAATCATAATTGATAAAACAAGAAATTATTTTCCCGTTTAATATACAAAAACTCTTTTCCAAATTATAAAATATTCACCAAAATCAATGTTTAGATTTGAAATAAAGCTTAAGCCTAAGCCTAAGTATACACTAAGCCTAAGCCTAAGCATTATTTTATTATTTAAGATGTCAAATGACTACAATGTTCAAGCACTATGCGTATATAATAATCAATTTTTTTTTATTAAATGATAATTTTTAATAGTTTTAACATCCTTTAAAATTAAATTTTGATCATAATAAGACTTCTTACCTAGTTTAATATGCAAATACCTGTACAAATTATGGGAATTTTATAAATGGGTTATTTAAATTTGAAATATAAATTTATTTTAATTGTAAGAATGAATAGGAATCGTGATAAATTAAAAATTAAATTAATTTTGCCAATAAAATATTGATTGAAACTTAACCTCTAAAGTTTATTTTATTATTATTGCAGGTCAAATGACCACGATGTGTGTGACCGGCACCTATGCAACGCATAAAACTGCAATGCATATAACATAATGAATTAACTTCAAAATATTGCTATTTTTAGAAGTTTTGGCACTTAATTAAAATTAAAAATGATAATTTAGAACCAATTTTCATGTTAAATGTAAGAAAACTGTTATAAATTTTAAAATTTTTAAAAAATTCAAAATTTAAATCTGAAATTAAATTTAATTTAAATTCTCAAATTCAATTAGAACCATTATTAATTGAAAGTTTTAATAGTTTTGCTGATGAATTTTTCCGCAAAACTTAATTATAAAAGCGTATTTCAATGTTTAAACTATAAAATGACCACACTATATATGACCCGCCCCAGTGCAATGCATACAAAATAATGAATTAACTTCAAAATATTGCTATTTTTAGTAGTTTTGGCACTTAATTAAAATTAAAAATGATAGAACCAATTTTCATGTTAAATGTAAGAAAACTGTTATAAAATTTAAAATTTTTAAAAAATTCAAAATTTAAATTTGAAATTAAATATAATTTAAAATGAATTAGAACTCAAATTGAATTAGAACTATTATTATTGAAAGTTTTAATAGTTTTGCTGATGAATTTTTGCGCAAAACTTTTTTACAAAAGCGTATTTCAATGTTTAAACTATAAAATGACCACACTATATATGACCCGCCCCAGTGCAATGCATACAAAATAATGAATTAACTTCAAAATATTGCTATTTTTAGAAGTTTTGGCACTTAATTAAAATTAAATATGATAATTTAGAACCAAATTTTCTTGCTAAATGTAAGAAAACTGTTACAAATTCTAAAATTTTTAAAAAAATCAAATTTAAATTTGAAATTAAAATAAATTTGAAATTGAATTGAAATTAAATTTTAAATTCTCAAATTGAATTAAAACCATTATTAATTGAAAGTATTAATAGTTTTGCTGATGAATTTTTTCGCAAAACTTAATTACAAAATCGTATATTAATATTTAAACTATAAAATGGCCACACCATATATGACCCGCCCCAGTGCAATGCATATAACATAATGAATTAATTTCAAAATAATTTAATTTCTCAAATTGAATTAAAACCATTATTAATTGAAAGTTTTAATAGTTTTGCTGATGAATTTTTCTGCAAAACTTAATTACAAAAGCGTATTTCAATGATATTTTGTACTTAATTGATTGAATTTTATGCGTTGCGTAGGTACTGGTCACATACATCGTGGTCATTTGACCAGCAAAAATAATAAAATAAACTTTAAAAATTAAGTTTTGATCAAAATTTTATTAGCAAAATTAATTAAATTTTTAATTTTTCACGATTTTAATTCATTCTTACAATTAAAATTAATTTATATTTCAAATTTAAATAATACATTTACAAAAATCCCATAATTTATACGGGTATTTGCATATAAAACTAGGTAAGAAGTTCTACT